ATTTAGCTGATTGCATTCTGCATTTCCTATTCACAGGTAGGTGCCAGTGACACTGCCAGATGGAGCCGAGCTCATCGATATGGGTGCACTGACCAGACACAGCTTCAAGGATTAGCCCTGGAAGGCTCTTGGTTGGTTGACTGACGCCTGGACGCTGGCGGCCTGAGTTGAATGAAGCTGAGATACTGGAGCTTCCACAGCATGAGGTGGAGGAAGGGTTGGGCTCGGGGAGGCGGGCCTGATGGAGAGGACTTGGGACATACAATCGGCATGTCCCACTCCCCTGGACGCATCCTCTGGGGAGGCCTGGGAGACACTGCGAATTCAGACACAGAGGAACTCATCCATGAAGGGAGCAGCCGCACCTTCACAGCTCTGTGGTCGCTCTCCAGTGGACAGGCACGACTGTATCAGAGGTGGGCTCCGATTCCCCTGAGGGTGGTGGGAGCTCAGAGGAGCCAAGGCCAAGGGCAGCTGTCAACCAGCTCCACGGTCAACAGACTGTTGTCAGCCGAGGGCAGTCGAGATCCCGAAAGGCCAGAGGAGGACGGAGGGACTTTCCTTGCTGGTGTGTGGTTTTCTTTTCTTTTGGGAGACGGAGGCTCACTCTGTCACCCAGGCTGGAGTGCAGTGGCATGCTCATGGCCACCACAGCTTCTACAGCGGCTGAGACGATCCCTCCTCCTCAGCCTTCCAGGTAGCTGGGAACTACAGGCATGCGCCACCACGCCTGGCTCATTTTTTGATGTATTGTAGAGATAAGGTCTTGCCAAGTTGCCCAGGCTGGTCTCGAACCCTTGGACTCAGGTAGTCCTCTCACCTCTGCCTCCCAAAGTGCTGGGATTATAGGTGTGCGCCGTGGCGCCCGGCTTGGTGTGTGGTTTTCCACAGAGGCCCGTGGATGGCGTATGCAGAGCCTGGAAGTGTCCTCTGTGGTGGCCCTCGTGGTCCAGCAGCACACGCCCTTCTGCATCTCCCGACAGCAAGGCCTCCTGTGATCAGCCGTGGCCCAGGCCCCTGTGGCAGGACTTGAGGTCTGCTCGACCTCCAGCAAGTTTCTTCACCACATCAGCTGAGGCATGCCTTCTGGGGAGTGCGGGGTCTCTTCACGTGTCACGCTCCTTCCCTCTTCACCCTGGTGGTTAGGGTAGCAGTGGCTTCCTGCAGCTGATACTTTCGTATTCTACTTACCCCTTTTAGCAGTTGCTTTCTGCTGATTCTTTGTGTCACATTCCACGCCCTGGGCGACTTGGCGAGACCTCGTCTCTACAATACATCAAAAATTAGCGCGTGCCTATAGTCCCGGCCGCTTGGAAGGCTGAGGCAGAAGGTTGATGCTGGGGTGGCCGTGAGCAGGACACTGCCCTCCAGCCTGAGCCACGGAGTAAGACTCCAACTCAAAAAAAATTGCAGTTCTTTATATGTTAAACTTCCCTTTTCCAGGATGGTTTTGGTCTCCCGAGTCAATGTGGACTGGTTCTAGGTAGTGAGATCTGGGGGCTTGGTCAAGTCTGACTCTGAGTAGCAGGAATGGGGTCAAAGATGCTTCGTAGATGCGGGCTCTGCCGTATTTTGCATCACATCAGAGCTACACATCTGGTTGTCTTGAGTGGTCGGTGAGCTCAAGTGCTGTCAGCTCGATCCATTAAAAATTCCCCAGTTGCCACATGGGGTCTTTGCAGTGACGGACAACCCCTGCCAAGATCTGTGACCTCCGTGAGAGTGAGTTTTAACTGGCGAGCTATCACTTATGAATTACCTGGATTCTTCCATAAAGAGCTTTTCTTCCAGGTCTCGGGCTGTCCTGAAATGCCGTTCTTACTGACGGCAGGATACTTTCTCGATTCTCGTTCATCAGTTTCTGTGGCTTTTGAAATTTTAGTATTTTATGGCTTCAGAAAAGCCTGCATTAGACAAGTATCTGTACCCTAGCTCCCCTCCCATAAAAACCTCAGCAGTTTAAAATACTCAGTGATTCACATTGCAGATTCCCAAATGTTCAACGGGCATGAGACATCGCTGCCCAGTGGCTACTACTCCTCATGCTCATTACATATGTTGCTTTAAAAATTTTTTTTGAGCCGTGCTCGGTGGCTCAGCCTGTCATCCCGCGCCTTTGGGAGGCTGAGGTGAGTGGA